CCTTGACATCTGATGGCACACAGGCTATGAATGCATCTCCAAACTCTGCTGGCGTTAACCTCTCTGGGCCATGATAGCCTAGAAAAGGAAAGACTGCAATTTACTGCAGAGGATTGTCAGGAGCTAAAAAGCCACAGTGGGGGGTCAGAGAGATGGCTCAGCAGCCTAAACATTTGTTCTAAAAGCATGAGGACTGGAGCTGGGGGTCCCCAGAAACCCACAGAAAAGCCAGGTGGGAATGACAGCTGGCAGTAATTCTGTCCCCAGAAAGTGGAGACAGAGGGTCTGGATTTCACTGAGAGATTCTGCCTCAATGAATGAGGTAGACAAGCAAGCAAGGATGATTCCTGACATAGACACACACGGACAGACAGACACATACACAGACAGACAGACACACAGACACACAGACAGACACACACAGACACAGACACACACACACACACACGCACACACACACACTGGGGCACAGGGGTGGAGAAAGACAAACAGAAGCCCCTGCAGCTGGGGCAGGCAGATGTGTCCTGTTTCCCATAAGAACACTGGAATCCCTCCCCTTGATGTGGGCTGGATGTGGGATGGTGGCTCCTGGGACTGGGTGACGACAAAGTAAAGGTAATAGACTTCTTGTGACTCCAGGGACTCTTATCTCGCTGTCTCAGCCCTTGAAGGAGCCAGCCTTCCTCTAGCCTTGATGAGGTCAGTTGCCTTACTGTGGAGGCAGCTTGCTGGGACCACAGCCCCCAGAGCTGGCTGTGGGTAACTCCAGTCCTCACCAGCAAGACACTGAGCCTCAATTCTGCAGCTGCCTACCTTTAACAAACAAACCTGGTCAAGGCCCATACCTTGGATGAAGTCCTAGCCTGGAGACATGGAGTTGGGAGTGGATTAATCAGGTGTTCAGACCATTTGTTCCAGAGCAGCTAGGAACTAATTCCCTGATCTTCTAAGACAGTGTGATCTGAGGCACTAGCTTAGACAGCAACCACTACTATAGATATAATAGATATGGGTCCGTCTAACAATGATGCCAACATTAGACTAAGTGTTCAACCTGTGCCGTGATTACCCTTCCCTGGCTTTGTTGACTATGTGGGTGTGGTCAATCCTTAAACAGATCTCTTTTCCCTAATGCTGACTTACCAATGCCACCATGTCCCCCCCAAGCCCACCACGTCCCCTGCTTATCAGAGGTGCTTAGAGTGAACTCATGCCTGTCTACAAGGACCAGGACACAGCTCCAGAGCTGGGCTGTCTCTTTGCACGAGGTACCAGCCTTATGCCAGCTTGAACAGACAGCGGTAATCAACCTCTGGAGCAGAACCCTGGCCGCCCACCAGCATCTACCAACTGGTGGAGGAAGGAAAGCTGTGTGGGGTCCTGAGTAGACACCCAGCCAGCCCTGGTCTCAGGAACCCTTGCATGCCTCTCTAATATGTCCCTGCCAAGCACAAAGGCTTCCTGCAATATGAAAAATGTAAGCCATTCTTCCCAACCATAGAGCCGATGCAGCTACCAGCATAGGACAGGGATGGGATGCAGGCCTGACAGGGCCTCTGGAGGAAGAAGGGGTCACATGACTGGTAAGCTTTGAAGGGGTCTCCAGAATGGCTAACATTCCTGGTCAAGAATGGTCTGGGACAGACCATCAGGAGGAAGGAATGCCAGGCTTGAACGTGTTTAAAGTCACATTTTATACTTTGTTGGCTGGAATCTAGTTGCATGAACCATCTTTCCTCCAGGAATCACTGCACCAATCAATCTCCAAGGCTCCACACATCCCTGTAGATGTGTAGACCTTTGTTACCGTGTGACATCAGCTAACTGATGACAGCAGCCACTGTTCTCAGATTGACCCATCAAATCCCTATAATTGGTAGGGATCACTATGCCCTTTTACAGAGGGAGAAACTGAGACCAGACAGGAGAATCAGCATCAGAGATCCTAGGGATAGAGCTGGGTGTGCCTCAGTGGTAGTGTACTTGCATAATATGGGTTTGATCCTCGCTAGTCTGGAAATAACAGAGATATGGCTGCCTCTGCCTCGTGGGTGCTGGAATTAAAGCCAAGCTCACACTGTTGTTGTGGTTGGGGCAAGGATCTCTCTACAGAGTCCTGACTGTCCTGGAACTGGCTAGATAGACCACACTGATCTTAAACTTACAGAGATACTACTGCCTCTGTCTTCAAGTGCTGGGATAAAAGACATGAATCACCTTGCCTGGCCATGTTCAAATTCTTTTTTATTTTATTTATTTATTTTGGTTTTTCGAGATAGGGTTTCTCTGTATAGCCCTGGCTGTCCTGGAACTCACTCTGTAGACCAGGCTGGCCTTGAACTCACAGAGATCATCCTACCTCTGCCTCCTGAGTGCTGGTATTAAAGGTGTTTGCCACCACCATCCTGCCAAGTTCACATTCTTAACCAATAAGCTGCCTTGCCCTTGGGAGTATACCACAGATTGACCCAAGATGTTCTCTATGGAGGCAGAGGCCCTGATATGTCCACCCATGGTGTCCTCTGACTTCTACACACACACACACACACACACACACACACACACACACACACACACACACACGGTGCCAGCAAGATTCTGGGTAAGATCATGCCCCTACATCAGGTAGCCTTGCTCTGCTGAAGAGCCCAGGGAAGGCTCAGCATGTGTCTAGAACAGACCCTAGGACAAGAAAGTGTTTCTGGGGCTGGATCAAGGGAGCCAGAGAACTGTCAGCCACTGCCCCCAGCTGCCCATCTGGCAGAAGTTGCCAGAAAGGGTCACTAAGATGCTCAGGGTAGGGTACCCCAAAGTCTTCACTCTGGAAGGGGGGTCCAGTTAGTGCTGACCAGGCTACAGGACAGGGGATTCTTTAACTGGTAAGCATGGAATAAAGGGTACAATGGCTCTTGAGGTCTCCATCCTCCCCTGAACCTGGACCACTGGCCCCAGCTAAAGCAGAGGTGGAGTTACAGAGTCAAGGCCACCCAGACTGTTTTGCCACCACTCCCCTCTGTTCCAAGTGACCCTTCCATCCTCATCTCTCATGATCAAAATCACATCTCCCTCATTTCCATTTCAGGAGAGCAGAAGGTGGACCCTGACAGGTCCTTCCACAAAATGTGGATCGTGTCCCTTCAGAGGGATGGAAACCAGGGTCAATACATAATCCAACCTCTAGGAACTCTCTTACAGCAGGTACCCATCTCATGCAGGATAGCTGCATCCTCTGGATGCTTCTAGAACACAGCTGATCATTGTGGCCCCTTGCTCAGTGTGGCACACCCCTCTGGGCCTCACAGTTCACCCACCTTTAGTGTTTGTACCACTATGTGTGTCCTAAGTATGGTAGTTCCTTCTGTGAGCAAGGCTTCCCGGGGAGGAAGCAGACGACAACTGGGAAACTGAGGCCTAAAGTTTGCCCCAAGTGGCATGTTAGGGATCCCCCGCAAGATGTCTGACTGCAAGTCTCGCTGTTGCCACCCTTTTTCTCCATGGAGTAGAAGGCTCTAGGGCCCATCACGGGAGCATCCCTGAATCCCACGTGCCCGAAGAGGCTCTGCACTCAGGGTCCAGGACATGTAGACGCCAGTGCTTTAGGCTGGTGTCTTTAGGGTCAAGAGGAGGATGCCCCTAGAAATGGAAAGCAGGAAGCCTCTCAATGGAGGGAACAGGCTGTTCAGAGGCCCAGAGGTGGGAAGGCTCTGAGAGACAACTGAAGAGTCTGAAGGCGACAGGCATGATTGAAGGAGGGGAGGCAGGGCTGTGTGCAGGAGGAGGGCAAGCTTGCAGCTGATGGCAGCTTGAGGAGGTGAGATTGGAGTTAATGGGCCATCAGGAACCTCCCAGCAGAGTAAAGGCAGCAGATTCAAGTGTCTCTGCGTGGAACTGAGGTGGGGGTGAGGGTGGACACACATTTGGGAGTCATCACGGTAGGGCCCCAGGCTGGGGACACCACCTCAGCAGCCCTCACCTCGAGTCCTCAGGAAGTTCCCCAGAATCCATCCTCTCTCACACCCCAGGCCAGCTTCTCAGGCCCTCCCTACCTACACTTTCTTGGTGTCTCAGCTCATCCACTCAGATGCGGGCAGACAAAGTCTAATCCAACGGTGGCCTGCAAGAAGCAGAGGTGAGTGATCCAGAACCAGGGTACAACAGGGCTCCAGAAATGCTGTGGGCTATTGCCTGGACCTCAAGTACCTGGACCACAGTGTACCTCACAGACGTGTCAGAGCAGTGTTCCCAGGGTCAGCTACATGCCTGTCCACCCTTGGGACAGCTAATTAGGAGAGCCTGAGAGGCCCAGCTCCTTGGAGAAGTTATTACCAAACTGTATGGTATCACAGGGGACTCGGGGGTGGCAGCCTACAGAACACCGGCTGACATTTCACCATCAGCCCCTCACTCCTTTGGTTTAAGATTTTTCCATCCGAGTTACTGGTTTTTAATGGCGCCATTCTAAGTTCGCCAAGGCTTCCTGCACTCTGAAACAGAGTCCCAGCTGATCCTTCTTGCAAGAAAAGGCTTTTAAATCCTGGGTTCTGAGAGGGGGAGGAGGCTATGGCACACAGACCAGAAAGAGGGGAGAAGGGAGGTCACAGGAGGCACAGAGGGTCATGCTTGGGAGGGATGGCGCCAATCACTCTCACTTCTCCATTTAGGGAAGGGTAAATCAAAGAGAGAGCCTTGGTGAGACTTTAGGGCTTCGCCTCCCTTTCCCACTCTGATGTTGGGACCCCTATGTCTTCCTGATGTCCTGGAAGCAACAGCTCCCAACGCAAACTTTCTGGGAACCTGACCCTGCCTGGCTGCCTATTCAGCCGTCACCACCCGCCGCTGGGCAAGGGGGGGGGGGTGGTCTTCGAAGAGCCGCAGCGGGGCTTCTGGGAGACCAGGACACTGAAAAGCGTCTCGCATAGCAAAGGCTGGAAGGAAAGGATGGAGACAGAGGGATTCCGCCCCGGGGCGGGGCAGGGGGACCCAACCGGTGGTCGGCTCACCTGCACGACACGGTGATCTCCACCTTGGTAGCTGGGATGCTGCCCGCCAAGGAGTCGAACTCGCTGAGCGACGCCATGTCCTCGGGCTGCTCCATCGCCCACGGTCCCCCTCACCCCACCCCAAATTAGTCAATATTCCTGCGCGATTCACGCCTCCTCCGGAGCGGCTGGAGCCCTGGGCTGGGCGGCCAGGGGAGGAGAGGGACGCGAAGAGGGGGCGTGGGAAGTGCGAGCGGGAAGGGGGCGGAGAGCGGGGGCCGCGGAGAAACGGGGTGCGGGAGCTGCTGCGGAGAGGCAGGAGCCGCGGGGAGGGAGCCGGGGCGCTGCGGGAAGAGGAGCTCCGAGGGGGCGTGAGGGGCGGGGGGACCTAGGACCACGCCGCCTCGGCTTAGGGCGCAGAGCCACGTCTCCTGCTAGGGCTCCGGCTCCGGGGCACCAGGACTGCGGGAAAATCAAATGTGCCCAGAGTCGCCGCCGCCTCCCGCCAGCCGCGCGCGCTGCGTGCGGGGTCCGCGGGCGCCGGAGGGGCCGCCCGCAGGGGCCGGGGCGGGGCCGGGGCGGGGTCTGCGCGAGGCTAGTGTGGGAGCGGTGTGTGTGTGTGTGTGTGTGTGAGTGTGCGCGCGTGTGTGTGCACGCGCGTGGCGGGCGTGGGGACGCGGCTCTGGCTGACGGGCAGAGCTGGCGACAGCCAGAGACGGTCCCAGGGCGCACGCCGCCCTCTGCACCAGTCCCCCACCACACTTGTCCAGGGTTTGCGTGCCGGAGGAGGGGGACTGTCCAAGGGGCACCTGTTTGGACAGCATCTAGGCGGGGTTCAGGGAAGTAGGCTCTGCTGAATGTGCGCACAACCACGGGAGGGTCTAAGCCCAGAGCTGGCTTTCTATCTTCCCAAGGGGCGGTGGTGTCGAGCCTGGTGCCAAGAGGGCGGGTCTCGTTTTCCACGCAGGTAGGGTGGGTCAGTGGACGCTTGCTCATCTACCTCTGGTGCCCACCGACACTGGTCTTGGCCAGTGGCCCGAACCTTTACCCAGCCCCTTCGTCGTCCTCCTCCTCTCATCGTGACCATAGGGGTTGAGCCAACCTCTGGGTCTGGAAGCTTTCTCTACAAGACTGAGAGAGGATGGCCTCAGCTCTCTGGGCTTTGCAACCAGCTTGCAGTATACCGGGCTCAGAGCTCTGTATTCGGGAGCGAGGGGAAGCCAAAACAGCTCCCAGGCCAAGCTTGGAGCCCCCTGCCCGGCCAGCCTGCCCTCTGGGCTTGGGGTTGCAGCGCCAAGCCAGCTCCTGGAAGCAATGCCTCGGTGTAAGCTTTGCTGAGGAGGAGCTTCAACTTCCTTGCCCACCATCCCACAGTCGCGGTCATTGGTGGCCTTCTGGCAGCTGGGCACTGAGAACTGGTCCACACCGATGCCGTTTGAAATCAGTTTTCAGTGCACCAGTCAAACAGAGTTGAAGACAAACAGAACACCTTCCCTGGGCTTGCACAAGTGTTTTCTGTTTACCTGTAGCTCCAGCTCTGTGACCTGAGACAGACAGCCAGGGGCACTGGTATTCCCGGGGAAGCAAGAAGGTGGGGGCGGGGGAGGTAGGGCCATCGACTCACTTTTAGGTTGGGCCCTTGGGCCCTCCCTTCATAAATAACAACTCAGTCTCCACTTATTTCTTTGCTTTTTTTTTTTTTATTGCTTTTTCAATTTTCAATTGATTTCAAATTTAGAACAAAATCCAGTCTGAGCCACAAGTGAGCAGCTAGTCAATATATGTCTAAAAGTATTGTTCGATATGGTAATGAGATAGAAGGAACCTCAGAGACTGAGAAGTCCCCACCCAGTCCAGTGCTCTTTGTGTGTTCTTGGCATGAGTCCAGTTTCTAACACCGTGTTATGGGATGCCACAAAAGATAAAGATTTGAAGTAGCTTGCCAAAATTTATGATTAGGACTTTGTTTTAAAACACAATTCTAAATGGTTGGGCAAAGATTAGGTTACCCCTTCACCACAGGCACACTGTGGCATGGGACAAGGGCAGTGCCGCTCAGCGCCAGCCGGCCTCCTTCTCTCTCTGAGGTCCTGCTTGGGGTGGCAGCCATAGAGAAGCAGGGAGGTTGCTCACCTGAAAGTCTGTTGATGGCCTTGAAAAGTGACAGCCTTTGGCATGGTGACTCCAGGGTTTCATTGCAGAAGCTTGTAGTCTCTATTGTCCCATCCCTCCAGGTTGTTACACTTCCATTGGCTCTCTTTGACAAAACAGAACAAACTTTATCTGGTAACTTCTTTATCAAGTCCTGTCCTAGGCTTGGATTAAAAAAAAAAAAAAAAAGCCTGGTGTGGTGGCACACCTTACACCTTTAATCCCAATACTCGGGAAGCAGAAGCAGGAGGATCTCTGTGAGTTGGAGGATAGTGTGGTCTACAGAGGGAGTTCCAGGACGGCCAGAGCTGTGTAGAGAGACTCTGTCTCAAAAACAATAATAAGGGGCAAAAAAGGACATGGTATCTGTCCCTAAAAGCCCCAGGCTAGTGGGGCTCCAGCTCATGCAGACAGAACTGGGCAGTGTTTAGGAGTGCTGTGGAAGTTGGCATAAAAAGCCAGGGAGAGGCAGAACCTGCAGGGGAGGCGATGGTGATATGACAGTGAGAGTGAGGCCCTGGTATGGGTGCTACAATCCATCCTGAGACAGACTGGCCAGAAGTGTTTGAGATGTCACAGAGTAATGTGGCTGGGGAGGCCACTGGCCCAGCACAGGGCTGGGTGCCAGGACTCTGAGGCTCAGACCCCATCTGTCCAAGCAGGAGAATGTCTATGTGGCTTCTCCAGCTGACAGCTCCACAGCTCCACTGCCCCAGAAGGGCTCACCTTCTCATGCTTCTAGCCTGACACTGTGACACTGCAGTGGTGACAGTCTCAGAGTCAGGGGAGATGTCATCCATCCCCAGCTGCAGACTCCAGAGGGTCGACATGTGCACAAGTGCACTGGGCTTAACTTTTGCTGCATGGTCAGCACAGTGAGGCCAAGCTGCATCCTTTAGGGAGACCCGTAGAGCCCAGGCCAGAGATCTGTGCCAGGCAACCATGGTGTGTACCAGGAGTAGAGGCTACATACAGGTTGGTGGAGGTAGCTGAGGCCAGGAAGCTGACAGGCAACAATGCTAGGCTCTGGCTGTCACCAGCCTGTCCAAAAGGAGGCACTTCTCAGGCCCAGGCCCGAAACTTGCTGGTAAGTCTCAGGAGTCTCAGGACTCAGTCTCTGATGACTCAAAGCAAACTCCTGGGTGTTGTCTTTGGATGAATTTGTTCTTTAGAAGGTGAAACAGTACTGTCAAGGGCTACCTGTGACATCCAGACAAGCCCTCTGGTGACCTAACACATGTGGCAGACTGGCTGTGTAGTTCTGGAACCCAGACTAGAAGCAACCTTGACCTTGGCCCACCCGCCACATTAGCACCGCAGTCCCTCTGATTAAGAACTATGAGCACGGAATAGGCCATGCCCAGAAGATGTAGGATAATCAGCATCAGCACTTTGCCTTCACAGTCCAAGACTGCAGACGGCCTTCATCTGACCTGATTCGTGGTGTTAATGATGGCAGAGCAATTTTGAGAGGCAACTCGCAGCATCGATAAGGAGGGGAAAAGCACTGAGGGCTGGGGGCTGAGCTCCGCACAGAAGAGGCAGCTGCTGCTGCCCTCCTCCCCCCCTCTCCCCCCTCCCCTCCAGAGGCACTTTGAGTAAGTGCTGACCTCGGATCTGCCCTGTTACAACAGAAGAAAACTGATGCAAGAGTTGGATTGGAGTGGGAGTGTGCAAGATGGTAGTGGGGGGATGCCCACACCACACCTGAGAACATTGTCTGCTGGGTGAACACAGCCTTGGGCCTGGCAGGTGTGGGCTGCACTTGAGCCCCCCCCCCCATTTAGCTGCTTATTTGGAAGTTCTTATGCAGCAAAAAAGCCTGTACCACTGTACATGGCAGCTCTGGGGGACAAGGAGATCCAGGGGCAGGAGGGAGCTTGAAACCACACTGTAGCAGTAGGAAGGAGGCAAGATGCAGTGTGATTCCATCCATTAATTGAAATACTAGAAGAGGTGGGGTTGGAGACTGTGTAGATTAAACCCCTTTGATTGCAGAAAAGCATAGAGCAGGAGAGTGGTAAGTTCAAGACCATCTGAGTCTTCTCCCCCAGTGAGAAACCCCACTAATGACAGTGAGGCTAGGTACCCAACAGTGTCGAGGACCTGCCTCAGATGGGGTGGGGCAAAGCCATTTCCACTGGTGTAGAAGAGGCAAGAAGGATGTCGGACTCTCTGAAAAATGTCCACTGTTCCACAGGATCTCCCTCTCCATTTTGCTACCAACACAAAGGGAAGCCTAGAAAGTTGCTGTGCCCAGGATTGCCTTCTCTTGGGACCAGTTCTCAGCTTGACCATACCCCTGTGGCCTGCCTTTCTCTCATCCACCCCTTTCCATCCTCTCTCCAGGTGATGGAAGCTGCTTGCTCTTATAGTCCAGGTCCTGGAAACTTCACAAGCAGGGGGTGCACTCAACTCACACAGCATGTGCCACCCTTCTTCTCCAGACCTCTCTGGTTGTCATCCCATGACCTTGACCTCTCCAACTGCATCTCCTTCACCTGTGACCACAGACAACTACAGAGCCCCCTCCCTGGGCCTTGGTATCTGCTATCTTCTTTATCTGCCTGGGGGGAAAAAAACGTTCCCAGTCTGCTTTGATGCCCCCAGCTCTTCATAGAGACCTTCTGGAACACTCCCTGACATGGAAGCTTGTCACTCACCCGTGCCTACCTCTATCTTCCTTCCTCTTGTCGATTTTCCCACCAAGAAAAGCTTTACACAGACAAGGGCTGTTTTGTTCATTGTTGATTCCTAGCACCTGGGGACCATGCAGTCACAAATAGATCACGAGTGGCAGGTGCCTGATTCGTCAGATGAGTGACTGAGAAGCCCACTCTTGCCCTTGGAAGCATCGAGTCCTTCATATGGACCCCAGAGTCCATGCATAAGTGCCATCAGAGGACTGTCTGTCACACACATCATTAAACATTTATTCTGCACGTGTCAAGAATGCAGCTAGGGAACTGTATGTCAACAATCTGGCTGACGCTGCTGGGGTCTGGGGCCAGAGCCTCAGAGAAAGGAAGAGAGTTGGATGTCTCCATCTTATTTACTGAGAACCCGCCACGAACACATTGGGAGAATCTCACATCTGCCGCCCACTCAATCCTCACAGGCAGTGCCACTGTCGTCCCATTTAACAAATCTCTACTCCTGCACTGCTTGCTACACTCGACCATCTCTAG